GCCTCCGTCCGGCCCTGCTCCAGGATGGGGGTGAAGCACTGGAATGGGCTGCCCAGGGAGGTGGTGGAATCTCCATCCCTACAGGATTTTAAGGCCAGGTTTGACACAGCCCTGGCTGGGATGATTTAGTCAGGGTTGGTCCTGCTTTGAGCACGGGACTGGACTACGGGCACGTCCACACAGCCAGGCTGAAGCCAAACTAACCTACACAACCTGAGCTACGTCAATTGCGTAGCTGAAGTCGAAAGAGCTTATTTTGGCTTTTGGCACTGCCTACACAGCAGGAAGTCCAAGGAAGTGCACTCGTCCCCCAACTTCCCTTGTTCCTCGTAAAACGAGGGTTCCAGGAGTTGGAGTAAGCAGTCCTCCAGCTCGACATTATTTCAACGTTATGTTGAAATAACTGCATGTAGTGTAGACATAGACGATGTTATTTCAGGATTCTCAAATAACGCTGGTGTGTAGACCTACCCTAGATGACCTCCTGAGGTCTTTTCCAACCCTAATCTTCTGTGATTCTCTGCTAACCATGGATCGGGTGTCAGTCTTCCGGGCGGTGATATAAACACTGTGAACAGTTCCAGGCTGCCGAATAGCTATGTCCCTTCATTTTCAGTTTAAACCAGTATTGACTGAAACATTTCTCAGCTTTTTACAAAGAGTATTATTCTTTTTTTTTTCACCTTACTCTTGTATCATTCAGATTAAGGCTGTTAAAATGCAATGATCTGGCTAATCGTACCGTCAATACAACTTGTATCGATACGCGCTGCTGTGCAGAGCTGCGGCGGAGGTAGCTCCAGGCGCAGGCTCTGGAGCCGCCTGCACTGCTGCTCTGCATTTTAAATGTATTAAGCACTGCTGGGCTCTTGCTACATTGAAAATGCAGAGACGCAGCGATCAGCGCGAGTCAGGACTGCTCGGTCCCAACTCGCACTGAGTCCCACAGCCTCTGTCCACACTTGAGTCCCCGCTCACCCCAAGAGTCTCGGAGGGCTCTTGTACGTTTCAAAAGCAGAAGCGCCAGCAGTGGGAACCGGCCGCAGGGACTGAAGCAGTCTCCACTCGCACTGTTTCCCTGCTGTGCCTCTGTTTGCCCTGCCCCCTCGCGGAGACGGTGCTGGGGGAACTGGCTTAAAGCTGATTCCACCCAGCACCGGCTCCTGCTCCTCCCCCGCCTCACTGCCTCTCTCTGAAAGAGGCAGCAAGTGCAGGGCAGGAAAGCGACTAGTCAAGTGGCTACTTGCTTATCCAATATGCATTTGCTTATCAGATAGTAGACTAGTCACTAACAACCTTAATTCAAATAACAACAATAACTTGACTTATTAAGAGAATACAACACGTTGCATGAGAGACATGTATTACAACCATACATGAGTCAGTGGGTATATGCAAAACTGCCTGGTGAAGTAAGACTGTGTGTTAGTCTAGAGGATACACACAATTAACAAACAGGGACACGTGTGCAAGCTCTGAAGTGCATGCGCCTCTGAACATTTCAAGCTCTTAGCCAAAGACTGTTCGAAGATCTGACACCCTCAAATGGGAAGAAACGGAAATGTGTATCCGACTATGTTTCAGAACTCTAGGGAGTATTGCAAAGTTTTAAAAAAGCAAAATTAAGAACATAAGAACGGCCAGACTGGGTCAGACCAAAGGTCCATCTAGCCCAGTAGCTGGTCTTCTGACAGTGGCCAATGCCAGGTGCCCCAAAGGGTTAGGGTTCCCAAAGGGAAGGAACAGAACAGGGAGTCATCGAGCGAGCCATCCCCTGTCATCCATTTCCAGCATCTGGCAAAGAGATGCTCAGGACACCATCCCTGCCAATTCTGGCTAATAGGAAAAAAGTACAAAATTGCACAAGTGGGCTGCAAATGGTGAGGCTCAGTTATTAAATGCAAATATGTATGGGCTACTTGTTCTACATCTGCAACTGTTTATTCAAGTGATAAGTTTTATTTGGGAATTAGGTTTTGTAGCATTGTGTTTCGAGTTTTGTTTGAGTTCTGCTGCAAACTACAAAAAGACTTGGACTTTTCAGCTTAGAAAAGAGGAGATTAAGGGGGGATATGACAGAGGTCTATAAAATCATGACTGGTGTGGAAAAAGTGAGTAAGGAAAAGTTATTTACTTATTCCCATAATATAAGAATTAGGGGTCACCAAATGAAATTAATAGGCAGCAGTTTGTTTATAACAAACAAAAGGAAGTTTTTCTTCACTTAGCGCACAGTCAACCTGTGGAACCCCTTGCCAGAGGATGGGGTAAAGACTAGAACTGTAACAGGATTCAAAAAAGAGCTAGATAGATTCATGGGCGTTAGGTCCATCAATGACTATTAGCCAGGATGGGTTGGACTGGTGTCCCTGGCCTCTGTTTCTCTGGAAGTGGGAGACAGGGGAAGGATCACGTGAGGATTACCTGTTGTGATCCCTCCCTCTGGAGCATCTGGTATTGGCCACTGTTGGCAGACAGGATACTGGGCTAGATGGACCTTTGGTCTGACCCAGTATGGCCATTCTTACGTTCTTAACAAATGAAATTCAAATCCTTCATCTGCTATTTTTCCCCCATCCCCAAAATAAACCCTGATATTTACCCAGAACAATTAATAGTTCTTTGCACTGATTTCCACCTGAATCTTTGTTGTTGGAGCAATAAATACTGGTGAATTCCCCAGAAAAAATTAAATAAAATAAAAACTGGAAAGCAAAGGGCCCTATCACAGCTGGGATGCCAAAAAACAGTCAAGTTTATTAAGGTGGATTGCAATGAAATTAATATTTCTTAAGGCTGGTCCACATATGCGCTGGCAGCTAGCTGCTCAGTTCAGACTTGGTCCACATACTATATAACCCTCTCTTCCAGTGCTCCCTCTAATTTTTTCCATCCATGTGTGGAATAAATTGCATGATGTGTACCAAGCCATGTGTGGATGTGCACCACCAGTAGAAACACATGCTGCTAGCTGAGGGCACGCTGCTAATCAGCTGAGCAGCATTTGAATCTCCTCTGGGTGGCTGCCCAAGCACTCAGCTTACAGGGAACACTGCTTATACCAATGTGAGGAGTGTGAGAACACTGTGAGGAGTGTGAGAATCATGAACATGCGCTACAACAGCTTCCTCTTATGCAAAATGTGCATTCATAGCCAGCCTGTCTGTGGTACACCAGCCTGTCCCAGGGGCTTGGGTGGGCGGGTGGTCTAGTGGCTAGATCAGTGAGAGAGAATGGTAGGGGGGCCTGAGCCCTCGCTTCTCCACCAAGTCCCAGCCCCAGGCCTTGTGCAGTCCAACCCCTGAACGGGGGAGATGGGCTGTGTTCCCTGTAAGCTGTTGCCAGCGCCAGGCCTCCCGCTAGTCCCCCAGGCCATGTCACTCAGGAAAGGGGGCTTGGGAGAAGAAATGACGTGCGGGCAGAGCAGGAGTGGAGGGTGGGGGTGGAACAGGAGCAGGAGCAGGAAGAGACAGGGGCAGGATGGAGGAGGGGTCCCAGGTCCTGCATTCCCCTAGGGACCAGCCTGGTCACAGGTATAACTGGGCAGGATTAGCTGAACCCACAGGTTTTCTTTAACCCCTGCTGTGTCAGGCAGCAATTTCACACAGACCCCTCACTCAGCCAGTCAGTCTACACACAGCACAGCTGGGATCCACCCATGAGCCTCTTATGTCTCCACCTGGCCATTTTCAGTCCCTTGCTGAAGCTTTCAGAGACGACAGGGTACGTTTACTACAGCCTTGCCTCGCCCTATTCCCCACCGCTCAGTTCTTTAACCCCTGCTGTGTCAGGCAGCAATTTCACACAGACCCCTCACTCAGCCAGTCAGTCTACACACAGCACAGCTGGGATCCACCCATGAGCCTCTTATGTCTCCACCTGGCCATTTTCAGTCCCTTGCTGAAGCTTTCAGAGACGACAGGGTACGTTTACTACAGCCTTGCCTCGCCCTATTCCCCACCGCTCAGGCGCCGTTCCTCTCCCCAAAGGGACACACTCCCCTGGGATCTGGATTCACTGGGAATCCCTGTCAGACGTGGCAGGAATCAGCCGCGGGGCTCACGCTGCTGCACGTCGTTCCACAGCCTCCGGGTGCACATGGGGGCTGGAGGCCGTGATGCCCCATCACTAACACGGCGACTGGTCTGGAATCTCCCCAGGGCCCATCAGAGCCAGACACGTACCTGTGTCACTCCCCAGCTCCAGGTGCAGGGTCTCTAGGGGAAGGAGAGGATGGGAGAGGTGAGAATTTAGGCCTCGCACTCACGGGGAGGCTCCCCTGGCTTATTAATGTCACTGCTGTTAGCTACAATGTGACACAGCCCAAAGCTGATAGTGCAGCCGCTGCAGCCAGCCCCCGCCCCAGCCCCACAGGGCTACTCAATGGGGAAGTGTGAGATGGAGCCAGGGTCAGTGACATCACTAGAGTCCCTGACTCCACCCAGGGCCAGGGCCACTCTCGCCAGAAGACACACCGCCCCCAGACTCCCATTCACCTCTGAATCCCAGCAGCACCTCCTGCAGGCGGGCACTTGTCAGAGAGAAATCGCTGAGTCTCTGCTCCAGCTCCGCAAAGCCCGGCTCCGGCTCTGCCTCCCAAAGCGTCCCATCCTCCCGGCTGCAGAAAGGAGGGGTTAGAAATGGGCCTGGTCCCTGAGCCCAGTAACCCCCAAACTCCAGCAAACATGGATCTAAGGTGTGTAGCCTGAGAGGGTCTCTATTCTGGTGGGCCAGCTGCCTCCATGGGCCCAGAGAGACGGGACATGGGGGAAACACTGGGGCAAGGAATGGAAATGGGTTCAGGAGCTTTCTCTGGGATGCTCTGGTTCTGTGGGGAGCTGAGCCATCTCCCACGCTGGGGTGTTCCAGTAGCAAGAGGCACCAAGTACCTGGAAAGGGAAGGGACACAGCCCAAAGAGTGGGTGTGTCCCAAAATGCTCTAGGCGGACACAGACAGAGACCAAGTCTTCAGCAGGGAATGAACGTGAGCCCGTGAACACCAAAACCCTGCGACCTTCAGCTCATGCAGTAACCCAGGGGTGTCTGACTCATTTGGGAGAGGACGCCGGATTGCACCATCCGCTACAGTCACTGGCCCAGGGCATCGACTTAGGGTTCAGTGCCCTGCTTCATTCCCAGTGCAGACTCACTGCTTGCTGTGGGACACCCATGAATGGAGACTCCGCCCTTTGTACGGGAAATAAAATGTTATTTGTTAAGTCCTTTACTGTCGCAGTATCTCTGCGTGGGAAAACAGCCCCCTCCCCCCCAACTTGTGGCTCCTCCTATTTCCTTTCCCATTTTGCTTTCTTGCTTCCTTGTCCTTTAGACTCTCCTCTTCCCTTCCCCCCTTACAATCCCTCATTCGCAGCCCTCCAGGGCTTCACTCCCACCCCCTCTCACTCCACGCCAGGGACTCCCCATGGGATACTGAATGTTGATACTGAAATGTTGTCATTTCAGTTCAGAGAAGAGAGGCCTTCGCGCCACTCTGAGCTGCCGTTCCAGGCTGCTGGCAGACTCAGGAAGGCAATGTTGTCTCTGTGTCTATTTGGGAGGGTTGCTCTGTAAGCAGGAGAGCTAGAAACCTACTTTTAAAACGATGTGAATCGAGAGCCTGCAGGCTCTGAACACGGGATGGGGCCACATAAATACACCAGGCAGGCTGGACCGCCCTGGTGGGACCTCATTAGCTGTCCGATAAGGCCAGGCCCTGCCCTGTGCTGAGGCAGCCGCTAGGGGAGACAGATCCCAGGCTCCGAGCCAGCGTGTCACACTGCACGGGCAGGGGGCAGCTGCACATTCAGGGCAGTTACCAGACCTAACACAGCATGAGGGGGAGTGAAAAGAGACCAGGACTTACCTGCCCCCAGCACTGCCAGTGCCCTAGAGAGGGAGACAGAAGAGGCAGTCAGAGGCCTTGTCCCAGGCTGGGACCCTCCTGCCCCGCAGGGGAATCCCCACTGGAGCCTCTGGCACTTGGGGAATTTCCAACACTGGGGGTCTTGTTCTGAGAGTGGCTGCCATCTCCCCCTCCCCTCCATGGGGACAGATGCTCTCCACAGCCCCAGCCAGCCCTGTGGGGAGGTGGCCACAGGGGGAAGTTTCTCCCCAGGCACATCAAAGGAAAACAACGTTTCTCTGCCTTGACAGTCGAATTCCCTCCAGTGCTGAGACCCCACAAGGCCCCCGACTGCAGTAACCCATTAACCCAGGGTGAGCGGGGCCTTAGGCCTGACTCGGGGCTTCTGTATGGTGGGGGAGGGGATTTCACCCTCCAAGTGCAAATGCAGCCGGAGATTTGCAGAGCAGGGGAGAAAGTCTTGGCCTTGCAGCACCCACGTCCCATCCTAGGCTCTGCCACAGACTCATTGTGTAATCTCGGGGAGGGCTCTGCCCCTACCTCTGCCTCACTCCTCTCTTGTCCCACGGGGCCCCACCCCAGTTCTGCAAAGTGCTGTGGGGCCTGGAGCTGAGAACCCCCCATAGAAACATTGCGTGTGATCATTGCAACAACAGCCTGACCTGCAGGGGCTGGCTCAGCGGCTGCTGCCCCTTCTCTCCTCCCCTCTCTCTGAGCAGGGAAGTTTCCCAGAACAGTCTGCAGAACCTCTCATCCCGCCTCTGGACAATGGCTCGCTCCAGCTCTTCCAGCCCGGACAGCAGCAGCTGCACTTGCTCCTCCAGAAACCCTTGCAGGGCCTTCCACGCCCCGACCAGCTTCTGCCGCTCGGCTTCCGTCCGGTTCTGCCACCACAGGGAGAGGGCGAGTCAGTAACCGGGGAGAGCCATAAATGCACCGCCCACAGCAATGTTCCCGCTAATCCCGTGCATCATGAACTTTGTGGGTTGTGCCCATGAAAGCTCATGAGACTACATTTCTTGTGAGTCTCTAAGGCGTTGCAGGACTATTCGCTGCTTCTGAATTTCTTTTATGTGCACCAAAGCACGTGCAAATGTGCAGCACCAAGAGAAACACAAAACCTGGGCACAGGCTCTCTGCAAATCCATGGGGCGGCATTGGCATCTCTCCTGCGCAGCCACACAGCTTACAGAGAACACCGCCCCCTGGCAGTCGTGGGTGGGGGGTCATTTGCCAGAGCACAGGATCACTTGCGTTGGGGAATGGGACATATATTTAGGCCTGGAAGGGTGAAGGGATCGAGGCAGAGGTGAGC